GACGTAGCATTATAAGATGTCATTTGCTGTGAAGAACTCTGATATGAAATGAATTGAGAGTTGATCCAAGCAAACAAGTGGTGGAGTACGTTGAAATTTAGGAATGTCTAAGAAAGTTGACAAGTCTAGGATAAATGACCAGAAAGGCCCCCACCACACACCCATATAGCCCTGTAAAAGAGTTCTGAAGTAGTTGGGCAGATTTCTCAACATTAAGCTCGATTGAAATTCTGTTGGAAAACAGGTGTCTGGAGTTAAACAGTGAATAAACAATCTTGTTTGGTCTTTATGATGTTTTCTTATTAAGTTCTTCCAAAATTACTTTTACTCAGCAAGGGTTAGAAATCATTTGTGGATATGGGCATTTATTTCCATGTGTTGCGCTACTACTGTACTTGTTCACAATTTAGTTTTGATTCATTTAATGCACCACCAGTCAGCAGATTCCTGCCGAGAGGGTATTGGAACACATTGTCCCTACCTCTGTGCTGTTGTTTAGTAAACCTACATTTAGAAGGAATTGTTTTTGAAAACTGTTTTTGATATTGAATAGCTTCTAAAATCTTGGCTGTGCTGTGCTTGTGATTACCCATTGCAGACTGTCCCAAGGAATCACTGCTAACCTTTGCGAACATTAGTGTAGCAACTTGAACAGTAGGTTGGTTACACGTTTATGTAATTTTAAAATTTAGATCCTATCTTTTATTCCAAAGCAGAGCTGACAGTTTGTAATTCTAGTTTACCTTCTAAGAGCAGACTTCTGTCATATGAGGGTTCTTTCAAAATTGGTGGAAAGTATGTGGAAATGAAGGTGATAGGAGACAGTTACTATCAGGGTCGTATCCTTTGGAAAACGACATTTGATTGTAATTATATCAAAGCGGGTAACATAAGCTTGGTATGTCTTTGACTGTTGTTTGAGTTTCATTAAACATTAACTGTGAATTGCAAAATGTCATCTGATCTTTGATTGTCTGTTGCTGTTGTGTAGAGGATCTGACAGTCTCTCAGTTCCTGACAAATATGGCTCCTTCACCAAGCAAAAACAAACGGCAGTGCTTGAAAATAATGTTATGGTAGTTCAGTGAATTTTCTCCTGTGACTTTTTAAGCAATAGTTCTCTGTGACCAGAAAATGCTGGTAGTTTTGTGCGTTTGACGGAAATACTGCCTCGTTGTAGGTGCTATTCTGGATATTAAATTGTTTCATGACTATCCGGGCAATAGCTAAAAATTCATTCTGACTTGTAAGCAATACCCAAACAGCTCAATTAATTGTCTTATGAAATTTATGGCTGCATTCCACTTAATTTCAAGGTGCTTTGAAGATGTGTTTTTTCATTGCATACGCCTTTATGGTGGTGAAGTATTATGACCTACTTCTGACTGAAATAATACAAACAAACTGGGTGGAAACTTTCTCCAGTTAATCTGACATGTTGATATGTCTAAACATGCTTACATACAATTTCAGATATTGAGTTGTGGCAAACAGTTGCAATTGTAAAGTATACTAACATGTCAGCTGGAACAGTCAACAAAGATACCATCCAGCTTAAAAAATGCAACCCATATTAACGTGTGTAGGAATAAATTAATTACATCCAGTAATCGGACCTAATTATCAAAGCCTCTCTTGCATGCCTCAGATCTGGATATTTCTCTAGCTTTGGCTGCATAATGTCACTACCTTAATCTGCAAAGAAAGCATCAGGCCAACTTGCAAAAATATCCTTTATCCCCTCCACCCCATCCTGATTGATGTCCTTGAGATGTTTTCATTTTGGTAGTTGGCTATGTTTCCTTAGCCTCACTTGTTAACTCCACCAAGGTTCAATTAGTTATGTCCCCTTCTAGTTGTATATTCCTCATGGTCAGTCCTTGTGGCACAGTTGTAGTGTCCCTAACTCTAGACCAGAAGATCAGGGTTCAAGTCCCACCTGTTCGAGAGCTGCATCATAACGTATCCAAGCAGGCTGATTATAATACCAGTATTCTTCACCGTTTTAGATTATAATAGCAATTTTGTAATTTACTTCTCTTTTGATCACTCAATCCCATCAGAAGGGAGTGTATGATCTGTACTATCCCTTCGTCATTGGCTATTGGAAAATGCACAAAATAGTGACTGAGGCAATGAAGCATCTTTGTAAAAGTAAAACCCTGCCTGGGTTTCTTTTGACATGTTGCAACATTGAATTTTGTGAATTTAGCTCTTTTAGAAGATTGTGGATAAGGATTAACCTTGTGAACACCAAATTTGGTGTGATATCAGGAAGGCTGTGAGAAATTGATCAAACTGTGGAATACAGCCTGGTGGAGATGAAAACCTGAATTATTTTCTAAAGAGAAAATGTCAAGTGCGGATACAGTTGGATACTGTGATGTGTGTACTTTAGGGCCATTTGTGATAATAGGGCAAAGGTAAGTTGACAGGATTTACCATCTTTAATATCCCTGCTGATATTCTTGCTTTCACACATTTAATATGCACAGATGTATCTATTCAGTACTCTCAAATCAGTGTTCCAACCTTAGGCATTAAGCAACCTTGATGGATCTCTGTGTAGCCTTGAGTATGTGATTTGTTTTGTGTTGATGAGAAGAACTGGACAAAATGGTCCAGGAGAGATCAGACAAGAGCTCTTATTTTATATGGCATAGTTTGTTCTTTCATATGTGTAATCTTTAATTTTATAGAATTACACATTGATTTGTTTGTCTCCCTCTTCCACCCCACCCTGCCAAGTCTGGGACATAGAGTCTAATTGTATCCTCAGTTCTGATCTCGCTGAGATGCAGCAGAGACTGAGGGTTGAAAATGAGGTCATTCTGGTTATTTAATAATGTACTATGCAAAAAACCACTCATTGATTAATCAGCATTTTTAAAAGGAAAATAGATTCTTCTTCCTGTCAGTTGTTTTTGATATTAAACTAGAGCAACAATTGATAGAAACTGAAAACATCCTTCTTGCTAAAGAGTGGAATGGGTGGGATAAGGGTGGTCTGCCTCACAGGAGACAGGCCTGTTCCTTTCTTCCTGCCGTTAATGCTTATTGTCATGTGTAGAAACTGTCACAGCAGGAGCTCCAAACCATAAATGCACAGAGCTCTGTCAAAAATGCGTACACATTTTGAATACTGTTAGACTATCTACTACAGTTCAGTGCTCAAACTGTGTTCAGTAGTAGTGCTTTTATATTTCTTTGAAGTGAATGTTTTAGAAGGGAAATAAATAAAGTGAAAATACATCTTACCAAAGTGTGTCTGAGAACGTGCGAATGTGCACATTGCGTTGTGGTGATGAATGCTCTGTGTTTAGCTCATGACACTGTGGATTAGTTAAACTCCTCCATTGTTTTATATTTGAGCTTTACGTCATTCAGTCCATTCAGTTGTTCAATTTTATTTTAAGCTTTCTGTTTCTTGAAGTGTGTTTCATGTTCTTTCATACCTCTGAATGGTTCAGCTGCCAGAATTGCTCTAGTGAGTTGGATCTTGGCCCTCCTCCCAAGTACTGGGTGTTTATTGAGGTCTGGTTTGCTCAGCTCTTATGTGACATGGTAGTGAATTAATCCTGTGCTTTCTAGATCACTTGGTTATGCTTTGATATACACAGGCATTGAGAACTTAAACTATTAAACTGCTTCTTGGAAGATCATATCCAATTTTTTTTTAACAAAATGCCATTGATGTTTCTTGTTCTCTTCCCCTACGTTGCCTTAACCCTTTATCCAATGAGTGACCAGAAGGAAGTATCTTTGGGCTAGGGCATGACTGGCTATAACAGTCAGACTGACCTTTCTATCATGCTCATGTCGGGTGGCTGGAAGCAGTAATGGGAGTGTTGTGATCAGAACCCATCTAGTTTAAAGTCTGATGGGTAAACCAAAAAAATCTCTATTTTCCAAACAAGGCTGATAATTGAGAGCTATCTGGATGGTTAAATATTGTTGCAAAGTATAATGGACAAAAACAAAACAAAACCTCCACTGACACTCAGCAACAGTGTGTACTATGTACAAGATGCACAGCAGAAATTCACCGAAGATCCTTAGACAGCTCCTTCCAAACCCACAACCACTTCCATCTAGAAGGACAAGGGCAACAGTTACTTGGAAACACCACCACCTGCAATTTTCCCTCCAAGCCACTCACCGTCCTGACTAGGAAACGTACCACCGTTCCTTCACTGTCGCCCGGTTAAAATCCTGGAATTCTCTCCCTCGGGGCATTGTAGGCCAACTTACAGCACATGGACAACAGCAGTTCCAGAAGGCAGCTTACCACCATCTTCTCAAGGGCAACTAGGGACGGCCAATTAATGCTGTCCAGCTAGGAACACCCACGTCCCATGAGTGAATAAAAATTTAATAAACACTACCATGTGAAAGAGATAGAGATTGGTGAAGACAGAATTCAAGTATAAAGCAGATAAAAACTTAGTTCCCTTATGAGTTTTTTCGTACCAGATGTAACATCACATAACCTAATCTGTAATGCAGCACAAATGACAACCTACTATGATAAAATGCTGAGAGATTTGACTGATGGGGATAGACTAAACCTCTCTAAAAGCAGATGGCACATTAGCCATTTTCATTGTTAATGTCTCAGCATACTTTCACGATCAAGGATTAGAAAATTTGAATTTCAGTAGAACATCTCTTCCTGATTCAATTATTATTCATACATAAACATGTGAGACTTTGTTTAGTGTAAGAATGTTAACCAGCGTAAACTGTGTTTTCTTTCAGTTGTCACACAATTATGACTCTGAATTTTATATTTGTAGTTGATTTCTCTTAAAATCCTGTAAGCTGAAAAGGAACTTAATCAGCGCAGTTAAGCTCAACTTAATTGCCAAGTAATGTGTCTTTGTTTTCTGAGAGAGAATTTCTCCCATGTCCCAGTACTTTTTTAAAGAAAAGAATCGTCACGGAGTTGAAACTTCAGTTGAAGGACATTATTGCATTAGTAAAGTACTGTTTTTGATTAGAGGGTCCTTATGGCGTATTTGCTGGAAGAGATGCATCAAGAGGCCTTGCTACATTCTGCCTGGATAAGGAGGCATTGAAGGACGAATATGATGACTTGTCTGATCTTAATGCAATGCAGCTGGAAAGTCTTCAGGAGTGGGAGATGCAGTTCACTCGTAAGTATTCTCATTGTACAATGATGGATGTCTGAACTTTCACTTGTATTGTCTAGGCCAGGAGAGATTAATCTCTTGTATCAAATCCATGAAAATGCAGTAAGGAGGAGGAATCTCAGACTGAATTATCATTTGCCTTGTTGTACAGCCGGATAACTATTTCTATAAAACCTCTGCATAATGTTTTCAGTCACCACAGTCTTTTAAAAATATCATTTTTTTACAGATACCTTCAATGCAGAATCAAACACAAAACTGTCAGCTGGCTATTAGAATTTTTTTTGATCTACTGTGTTTAATGCTGTAGAATCTTGTTAGAATCAGTTAGTACTTGCTTTCTGTTAGATTAGTCAGTTCCCCAGCCTGTGGCAGTTCATTGATGAAGATGCGAATGTTACAATCAGCATCACGGAGGAGGAATATAGAAAAGGTTTACATTTTTGGATACTAAAGGATTGAAGGGATGTGGGGATAGCGTAAGAAAGTGAAGCTAAGATGAATGATTATTATTGAATGGCAAAACTGGCTCAAAAGACTGATGGAACTATTCCTGCTCAATGAATTATATGTAACAGAATAATGTATTCAGTTTGGATAAGTACCGAGGTCAGTGCGGCAAGTGGTGAAATTGCTGTATTCAGAGAATAGTCTGAATTTTAATTCATGCTTAGGTTCCTTAGACTTCTTATTACACCTCTAAGGGGTAGAATGCGATGGAAGTCTCTGTACAGTAAAGATTAAAAGCCTGTACCACAGAAGAGATTATGAAGCAATTCATAATCATAATTCATCTCTAACAACTAATGCCCTCTTCTGCAAACTGCAGAAAAAGTAGACTGTAAATCTTTCCAGCTTCTAATACAAACACATCATGTATATTTGTTTTCACGTAGCTGTGTTGTTCTCAATGCATTTGGCATGTACTTGCACGTGCATGTTTTGATTAGAGAAAAGTACTTTGCAGCTCATCGCAACAACATAAACTTTTGATACCAGCAAGTTTTACTGATACTAATTAATTTGTGGAAATGAAACACACTGGCCTTTCAGTTTTGGTCTGAAACTTGATAAGCATGTTGTGTTAGTAATTCTGATGCTTGGTTTCTCTCTCTGTCTTCAAGATTCTGCCAAGATTTCCATAGAAATTACAATCACGTATTTTACTCCATCTTAAATATTGGCAAAATTTCAGCTTCAGTCACTAACAGTGATAAAGTGAACCTTGATTAATCTTTTCTGAGTCAGAAGGTGGAGGCTTTGAGTTGACAGTCAGACAGTCCCGATGAGTGAAAAATGGGGCCCTATTCTGACATCCATGATTCTGCTGTTCATTTGGTGTGATAGGCTCTTTCTCATTGTTTGGGATGTACGAGTCTATAAAACCACTTCTGCCAGTAACAACTGAGTAACCTATGGGTGAATATAAATCTAGATTCTGTTACAATCCCAGATGAAAATGCTATATTATGTTATGATGTGTTTAATTTAAAGTGACAAAGTTTGAGACTCCAGGTCATACTAAGAGAATAATGTCATGTCGTAGTAGATTATTTTGGGAAATAATATCAGGAGTTTTAGGTACAGGTCAACAAACCCGTATATTGAGCCAACGTTGCCCAGAAAAGATTGTAAGGTAGCACTCTGATTCAACGAAATTCATCACGTATTTATGTGTTATTAGTCATATAGACAGTGCATTACTCAAATTCCAAAAGGGTCTGTATTAGACGGACCCCTTGTTTCTTTCACATTCCAAAAGTGGCAAGTCAGCCGTTACCCTGGTCTCACCACTCCCTATCTTCCGAGGTTCCATCCTAGCTCATCTCCAAACCCTGTGTTTCGTTCCTATCCTTAAGTAAACCCTATTGCTTTGTTTTTTTCTTGGTGACGGGGTCATCCTCACATTCCATTTCTAACTAAGGCTTCAGGGTTAATGCTAGTTCAACCACATTGCGTTTTCACAGAAACTCTGTCTGATTGCTGCATCAACATCTGAGCATGTTTATTCAGTTTAACTAACTTTTCTTTTAACCTGACTACTTTCTTGAATAAGAATAAATGAAAATGAATCTTGAACAATTTGTATGATAATTGCTTGTGAAGTGACCTCAAACTCTACCTAATTCTAATCCCGGCTGGAAGTTCGTGTGGATTTAAAGGTTAACTCATGCCATACCCAAATACCTACAACAGTCACAAGATTCTTTAATTTATAAGAAACACGTTAATCTTTACCTGCAGAGTTAGGAAAGTAAATCAGTCTAACATACATCCTGCATGTAATACATAGACAACCTGTACTCCAAAATCCAGAATTAACATAAGGTAGATATGAGTTAACAAACTGTGGTCAAATATCCTGCAGAACATAGCAAATAATTCAGTTAAGACACACCCGCTTAAAGTGGGAGTGGTTACTGTGAGTCACAAGAAGTCTTTAAAAACTCAGTCTCCTTTACTACCCTGTACCTTGAAAAACCCTCAAAGTATGTCTTGAGTTGCCTCAATAGCTGCTCATGTCCTGGTATTTCGATCTCTTCCTCTGACACTGCATTCCAGTGGATTCTCAAGCTGCACTCCAGCATCTATTCAGGCACAATTCTAGCTCTTTCACAGACAGCTAGCTTCATAAAGCTGGTAATGCCCTTGGGTTTCTCCTAGCTCCACCATCTTTCAGCAGTATCAAGCAAATAGAGTATGGGCTTCCTTCACACTTCCCCATCATGTGAACTACCAAACAACTCCTCGGACATCAGTCAGCCGCTAGCTGTGTTGAGACACTTTCGTGTTGCTGATTCTCTGTCTCCATTCAGAATCAGGGACTTTCTGCCGCCTTGGCACTTTGGAAATTTTCCCAAGCCCTGACTGCCTGGCGCCTGCCAACCACAGTACATCTGGAGCCTCTTTTCCCTGTTTCCAGCCGCCAGACAAACATGTAGCATACCTTTTCTTGCTTCCACAAGTCCTGTTGACAGGTTTTCATACCACCACACACAGGCACACTACTGTCTCTGAAATGGACACCATGGTATCTGGAACACAGGAGCATCCGCAACCTGATCTGCTCTGTGCATGCATTGGAACTTCTGGGGCTTTACAGGAAACAGTGAAAACAAGACAAACAACAAACTACAGTAATGCATTTTGTAGTCTGTTATCCCTTTCTAAAAAGTATTTTTTATTCTATTTAAAACCTCTTCTACAGTCCATAGTTATCCAGTTTATATTTATTTTGTCCCATATTTTATGATTCAAATGAACTTAATCCCTTTTGTAAAAAAAAAGCTGCAGAATTTTAATTTTACGAAATTGTCTGCGGATATGTAGTAGTGTAAATGAGTGAAATGATCATTTTGTTCCCTCACTCTCTGTTGCTACTACTTGAGTCTTCCCTTATTAGATTTTTCAAAGTGTGGTAGGAGCACTCTGGTAATCATAGCTCCTTGGTGTGTTGTTACTAGGATCCAACTCTTGACACTTGGTTTGGCATGATCAGTATAGAAGAAATCAATCGCAGGTCTGGATAAGGTAGGGTTGTCCTTCCAAACACATGCCTGGGTATAGGCCATGCTGTGATGTAACAGAGAAATTAAGTGAGATGAGCGAAGTGAGATTTCACCCTTTGTATGGGAACACACTGCAATGGGAACTAAAGCGTGTGCCAACATTCGTAAATTGCATGTTTATTTGAAAGACTTCCTAAAATTGGAATGCCTTTTAATAGTCATTTTCTTTCCTCTTAATCTTTTCCAGAGAAATACTATTATGTCGGAAAACTCCTGAAACCGGGAGAGGAGCCCACAGAATACACGGATGAAGAAGATACAAAAGATGCAAAAGAGGCTAAAGAGTTGACAAAGGAGTGAAGTTCTGCAGTTTGGAGAGATCTATTTTTGTAGAATTGATCAAGCAACAACATTGCATTGAAATTTTTCAGTAAGATTTCTGCGGGGTGGGGAGGGCACAATTATTGCAACTGTTCAGTCTCATTAGTTTGACAGGTGTTTTGTGGTGAAGCATGAAATGAAGATGTGGAGGGAGGTCCATCAGCACTGAGCTCTGAATATTGTAAAACTACAATAACATGACTTGTCCCAGCCAAGGCAGAGCAACTTCGTCTGATAATCAAGCTACTCCATTCAGTCAGGATAATTTGAAAATGTGTAACCAGTGTTTTCCCTCATTTATTTTATAGGAGAAGGAAAAGGCCTTTGCTTTCCAGAAATTAAGTTGTGGGTGGGACAGCAGGGAAACAAGCATTCAGCTTGACCAAACCAGCTCAATATTTACAACATTTCACATGAGCAAGTCTCATTAAACTACATTCTCGCAGAGCTAACCTGTATTTAGCTACGGTTGAGCTTCTAGCAATGTTTTTGGTTCAGAAACGTGCATCACAAAAGCAATTTACACTGTATATGGATACTGTAAGGTTAAGCAGTTAATTCTGGTCAGTCTTGTTGCTTGCCTCTTGTAAATGTGACAGAGCACTTAGCGTGTGCAGTGCCTCAGCAAAAGTATGCAGCAATAACTGAATGGGACATTACAAATTCTGAAGATTGAATTTTGCAGGAATTGTTGTGTGGGATCAGTTCAGTTAAGATCACATTCCCTTTAAAATTATTGGCCTACGAACCCAGCCATTTTAATATGCATTCTAGCAGTAACTAATAAAAAAGCAAGACGTTTTGTTTTGGTAGTTTTTCTAATTGTAGTAATAAGATGACCTGTTTTTGTGCCGTTGTCTAACTCTTGTACAACAGTCATCACAAGTGAAATGCTGATGTGTGACCTCATCAGAGAACTGTGCTTTGTAAAAAAAAATATTCAAAATCCTATGTTTGCATTAAATATATTCCTAACCAGATTAAATGTTGTATACTAACAAAATATGATTAAGTCTGTACAAAAACACATCAGATGATATTGTACAGCATGTGTTTACTTTTGTTGAAATAAAGAATGTCACTACTTTGAATTCTAAAACTTATTGATATACTTGTGCAAAAATTAGAATTGCAATACAGTCCACAGAACGAGAGATCCTCTCATACAGTTGGCAGATACCCTTAATACACATTAAGGGTACAGCAGTGTCCTAGTTGCAGAACTAGACCAGCAACACAGAAATCGAATTCAAATTCTTAAGGCAAATCATGAAATTTTATGTAGAGAGTAAGGTGCACTGTGCCAGGAAATAACTTTAAACTGCTGCATTACTGTCAGAAACTCAACTCATTAATGAATATCCTTAAGGAAAGGCCACTTGCTGTTCTTATAAAAATGAGGAAGACAGGAGTATAGGTCTTCCAGTACTTTGAGCCTGCTCTGCCATTCATTAAGATTGTGGCTGATCATCCCACCCGATAGCCTGTTCTCAGTTTTTCCCGTTATCCTTTAATCCCTTTAGCCCTAAATGTTACATCAAACTCCTTGAAATCATACAACGTTCGGGCCTCGCCTACTTTCTGTGATAGTGAATTCCTCTGGTTCACCACTCTAGATGAAGGAATTTCTCCTCATCTCAGTCCTGAGTGATATCCCCGTATCCTTAGACGGTGATCCCTGGTTCTTAACTCCCCTAATCTATCAGTTAACATTGTACTATGGTTAAGAACCTGGAATTCAAAATCTCTGTATCTAAATGTTCCACTTATTTGATTTTAGTATTGAAATTCAGTTTAAAGAAAAGACTCAATTACATTTTGAGATATTCAGAAAAGTCAGTATAACTCTTCATACTATGTGCAAAAAGGGAGATGTTCTAAAATAGAAGTAACTTTGATTATAAAACGCAGCCAAAGTGTTTTAACAGTACATTTCTAGCATTTGTGAATGGTATCATGTCAATGCTGTCTGTAAAAATGTATATTTACCGTATTCGCTTTTTACTTTGAAATACTACTCTTAGTACCCAGCATGAAAGTTGGTGCTAACTAACTTTGCAGTATATGATTTCAATTGAATAGGGATCATTGTGCGTGCACACATTAACAAGGCCTGGTGTATAGGGGTTAGGGTAAGGGCATGGGAGAAGCTCAAGCCCTAAAATTGTTGAACTCCGTATTGATTCCAGAAGGCTGTAGAGTTCCCAGATGAAAAGTGAGATGATGTTATTCAAAGAGTAGCTGGGAGACATCGCCACAGTCATCATGACTGTATAAGAGTTCTCTGCAAGGCACCCTCTGCGAGACGGCGAAGAAGGGCAGCGAATCAGAGGGCAGTTGAGAGTCATCACAGCAGAATTCTGGGAGATATCACCACAGTCATCAACTGTACAGCAGGTCAGAGAACCTGGTGTCAAGGTCTGGTTAAATCTGAAATACTACATTGATGTTTCAAACCCTCCCTCCTGGAGGAAGATGCAGTGGTTTTTGTTGAGGTTCGTTCCAAGCAGCTCCATGACGCGTGACTCTGTGGTGTACAGTCTGTTACCCGGGACGCGCATAGTCAAGCATCAGTTGCACCTTCAAGACCATCAGCTCGGTGAAAGACTCCATTTGGTCTGCCTGAACTTTGGCTTTGGAGCAAGGAGTTAACCTCGACCAAGTGTTGCACACTGGCGTATTCCAAGGTCCAGCACTACGTGCTGAGGGACACACTGAAGCTTGGGGCAGCTGTTGCCAAGACGCAGTGAGAAAAGACCACTGTCTGAGGTCTTCCTGATTAAAGGTAAATGTGGGTCCGCTCAGTTCTTCCTCGTGTGTCAAATATGTGAGTGTTAGTGTTGTATGTGTCTATAGTCAATCTCCAACGTTTATGTGTTTACTTGATATGCCACTGTGCAGAACAGAACCGCTTTTGTGTCAATGCAAATATACAAAGATTTATTATGAATAAAGTATATTTTTGAAATAAAAGAAAGACCCTGAGGAGTACGACTGGCAAGGTAAAGGTGTACGAGAGCAGCCATTAAGAGAGTGTGCCAGTGTTAGAGTGGGAGTGCCGAGGCCTTTGCTTGAGAGGTTTCGGCTTGAGGAAGCTGAGCAGGGGTGCAGGTAAGGATTCTTTTAACTCTCTTTCTGTCTAGACTGAAGGCAGTATGGATGGCAGTTAGGGCAGTCGCATGTTCCCCTTACAGTATGTGGGAGATCAGGGAGACTTCCAGTGACCCTGGTGGCTACACCGGTGAGAAGTGCACCCGCCTGCATCTCCTGACAGACCACGTCAGGGAACTGGAGCTGGATGCACTCAGGATCATCCGGAGTGCAGAGAACATCATTGATAAGAGCTATGGTGAAGTAGTCATTCTTAAGGTGCAGGCTGCAGGTAGCTGGGTGACCACCAGGAAGGTAAGAGGGGAAGGCAGATAGTGCAGGGTTTCCATGTGGCCATTCCCATCAGTAACAGATATACCACTTCGGATACTGTTGGGGGAGAGATGACCTTTCGGGAGCTAGCAGCAGCAGTTAGGTCAGTGGCACTGTGACCAGCTCTGAGACTCAGATGGAAAGGCTGCAGTCAGACAGAGTGATACTGATAGGAGACTCAATTGTGAAGGGGACAAACAGGAGATTCTGTGCCCGCAGAACAGACACCAGGATGGTGTGTTGCCTCCTGGGTGCCAGGGTCAAGGATGTCTCTGAGCAGTTGCAGAACATTCTGAAGGGGGAGGTGAACAGCTGGAGGTCATTGTGTACATTGGTACAAATGACATAGGTAGACAAAGGGATGGGGCCATGCAAAATGAGTAAAGGGAGTTAGGTTAGAAGTTAAAAAGCAGGATCTCAAGGGTACTGATCTCTGGATTACTCCCAGTGCCATGTGCCAGTGAGGATAGGAATAGAAAGATAGGCCAGATGAATGTGTGGCTGAGCAGTTGGTGTAAGAGGCAGGGTTTTCAATTCTTGGATCATTGGCATCTCTTCTGAGATAGAGGTGACCTGTTCAAGACGGATGGGTTGCACGTGAACCGGAGGAGGTCCAATATCCTTGCAGGGAGATTTGCTAGTGATACCCGGCAAGGTTTAAACTAGTTTGGCAGGGGCTGTGGGATTCTGAATAAGAGAGGGGCCATCGAGAAGACAAAGGAAAATACATTAGCCATTGAGAGCAAGTTTACTAGTCAGGATAGCCAGGGGCACAGTAAAGCGAGGGAAAATAATTGGTTTAAAGTGCATTTATTTCAATACACGACACCTGACTGGTAAAGCAGATGAGCTCAAAGCATGGATTGGCTCTGGGGACTGGGATATTCTTGCCATAACAGAAACAGGACTGAGAGAAGGGCAGAATTGGCAGCTTAATTTTCCAGGATACAGAAGCTACAGGCGTGACAGAAGTACACGTAAGCAAGGAGTAGGAGTTGCCCTTTTGATAAGAGAGGACATAACAACAATGCTTACAGAGGATATTCTTAAGGGGTAATCAAATGAGGCCATTTTGGTTAGATTTTAGAAACAAGAAGGGGATTGTCACTCTGTTGGGGCAGTACTATAGACCCCTAAATAGCCAGCGGGTCTAAAGGAGCAGATGTGTAGAGAGATTAGATACCTGTAGGAATTAGAATAGCATTGGTTGGAGATTTTAATTTCCCCTGTATTGACAGGCCACCCAGAGTGTAAAAGGCTGGGACAGGGTAGAATTTGTCAAATGTGTCCAAGAAAGTTTCCTCACTCAATATGTAGAGGGTCCTACTCGGGAGGTGCAACACCAGACCTCCTCTTAGGAAATGAGGTCGGGCAAGTGACTGAAGTGTCCGTTGGAGAGCACTTTGGGTCCAGTGACCATAACTCTCTTAGTTTTAACATAGTTATGGAAAAAATTAGGACAGGTCTACAGGTTAAGGTGCTGAACTGGAGCAGGGCCAATTTTGTGGCCATTAGACAGGATCTAGCAGAGGTCAATTGGGTGAGTCTGTTTGAAGGAAAAGGAACGACTGGCAAATGAGTGTTTTTTAAAAGTGTTATATCAAGAGTCCAGGGACAGTATGTCCCTCTTAGGGTGAAGGGAAAAGCTGGCAGGTTTAGGGATCTTTGGCTGACGAGGGATATTGAGGCTTTGGTCAGGAAAAAGAAGAAGGCATATATTGGATTTAAGCTATCGTGCTCAAATGAATCCCTTGATGATTATAAAAAGTGTAGGAGCACACTTCAGAGGGAAATCAGAAGAGCAAAAAGAGGGTATGAGACGGATTTGGCAGATTAGGTTAAGGATAATCCAAAGAGGTTTTATAGCTATATTAAGAGTAAAAGGGTGACTAGGAAGAGAACAGGTCCCCTTAAAGATCAGCATGGCCATCTATGTACGGAGCCACAGGAGATGGGGGAATTTTTAATGAATATTTCTCCTCAGTGTTTACTGAGGAGAGAATCATTGATGCTAAGGAAATAGGGGAACAAGTGGGGATGTTTTGGACTGCATACATATTACCAGAGAGGAGGTGTTTGCAGCCTTAAAGCACATTAAGGTAGATAAATCCCCTGGGCCTGATCAGTTCAACCCTCAGACATTGTGGGAGGCTAGGGAAGAAATTACAGAGGCCCTTGCAGTGATTTTTGCTTCATCTTTAGCCACTGGTGAAGTTCCGGAAAACTGGAAGGTGGTTAATGTTGTTCCATTGTTTAAGAAAAGTAGCAAAGACAAGCCAGGCAACTACAGGCCAGTGAACCTGACATCAGTTGGAGGCAAGTTATTGGAGAGGATACTGAGGGATAGGATCAGTCAACATTTGGATAGTCAAGGTATGATTGGGGATAGTCAGCATGGATTTGTGCATGGGAAGTCACGTCTGACAAATCTTTTACAGTTTTTGAAGAGTTAGCCAAGAGGATAGATGAGGGTAAGGCAGTGAATGTTGTCTATATGGACTTTAGTAAGGCCTTTGACAATGTCCCACACGGCAGGCTAGTCACGAAGGTTAAGTTGCATGGGATCTAGGGACAGCTAGCTAATTGGATTCAAAATTGGCTCGACGGTAGGAAGCAGAGGGTGAAGGTTATTTCTCAGACTGAAGGCCTGTGACTAGTGTTGTGCAACAGGGGTCA